ATTGTAAAGCACTTTGGCTGCCTTGAAAAGCGCTATATAAATCCAATCCATTATTATTATTATTATTATTATTATTATTTATCACTCATATGCACATGGCTGTGCTTCATCTGTTTGACTCTAAAAATGTGGGAGTCAGAGTCTGAAGTGATAAGAAGCCAAGTTATCTCCATGCACACAGTGCACACACGCAGCAGCGTGATTCTGAAACTGTCGGATTTATTTTTTGAAGTCACTTTAAAGTCAAATTTGCTCTGCAGTCAGATAAACGCTGAAGAGATGTACAGCACGTCCTTACAGATCACAGAAATATAGATCACCTTCTCCTGTGGCTCTTTGTCATGAGCCACTTGTCTTGACGAGTTTGATTGAATAGTTTTTATCTGATCTGATTCTTTTCAGCCTCTGAATCCAAACCCTGACAGCAGGTGGAACACCTACTTTAAAGATAATGAAATTCTGCTGCAGATCGACAAAGACGTGAGGTAAACACCTTTACCAGCTGTTCTGTTACTTCTGTTAAATAACAGTAATGTGAATGTGAGTGTTCACCTGCAGGCGGCTGTACCCGGACATGGCGTTCTTCCAGCGCCCCACAGAGTACCCCTGTCAGCTGATCCTGGACCCTCAGAATGACTACGAGACACTGCGTCGCCGAGTGGAGCAGACGACGCTGAAGGCACAAACGGTGAACTGCAACCGCAGCGGGGTCACCAATGTAAGCCTACATCCAGGGCATGAATGCGATTGTGGGGTCCAGCTCAGTTTTGCTGTTTCAGGCCCATCTGTCGAATTTTGACTTTTCTGCCCCGCTTACAGTACAAACAGGTTAGTTCAGGTACAGTGACGCGCTGAAACAAAACCATCATCCTGGTATTAACAGCAGGAAGGGTTGAAGTTACTCACACGGCCTACATCAAAGCTGACACAGGTACAGCTGAGAAAAGAAAACAGTTAATGACTAAGAATTCATCTCATTAGAAATGTAATAGGAATGTATAACTTATGATGGAATGATGATGGCCATCGTCAGCTATTTACATTCGTTTGTTGTACATGACTTTTCTGTAAAATTTATCCACCTATAAATCACAGACCTGAATTACTGCTTAATTACTGCAACATTACATAAAGTTTTTAAAACTACACGTTTACACAGTCACTTAGAGGAAATGGTGCAGCATTTTTCTACAGGTCAGGCATTTTAACCCTCAGGTTAATATCTGTAAAAGGGGTTTTAATTAACTTAGAAATTTAGATGTAAATGACTGAAAGGGCAATACTTTACCTCAAAGGAATGATCGTGGTTCTTTGGATAATATCTAGACGGATTCCTCTCTCTGCCGTGACCGTCTTTCAACCTCAGTTAATGGTGAAAAATGTAGATCATGTCCTGTACCAGGCAGGAAATAAAAACTTGGCAGTTGTTAAAACTTAAACCCCCTGGTGACTGCTAAAACGTGCACATAATGTGTAAACGTTAAGTTTGAGTTATGTGCAGAAAAAGTGTGTGTTCACAAAGCAGCCTTGGTCACACAGTTTGTGTGTACAAAGAAACGGTAGTTTTATTCAGAGGGCAGCTAGATTATTTATGTAGTGGAGAAACCCTGCTCATGTGGATATGACTAATCAGCATGAGCACCATGTCTCCATTTGTTTCACATCTATTTGATATTTGGTAACATTTACAGACATAACTGGCATAAATCAGGTGTTTCCTTCGCCAGTAAACGATAATAACATGGGCACATGTCTAATTGTCATTAATAGCATGTGTTCTGTGATAATAAGAATATTTTATGTGTGTTTGGCATATTTGCATTACAGTTTTGTCTGTTAGCATAAAAAATGCAAAAAAAACCCCAAAAATTAGAAGCGGCGTTAATCCTTGCTTCCATGTGATTGGCTGATTAGATATTACTGTTGCTATGCAGTTGTACAGGTGTGCCTAACAAAGTGGCCATTGAGTGTATGTTACTTAAAATCTGTTTCGGATCAGCTGTGTCTTGTTTTCTCAGGTGAGTTCACCTGGAAAGGCGCTGAACCTGTATCCATCTAACGAGTACGAGGTGCTGCCCAATGGCAGTGAAGCCCACTGGGAGGTGGTAGAGCGGATCCTCTTCATTTATGCCAAGCTGAACCCTGGCATCGCCTACGTCCAGGGCATGAATGAGATTGTGGGGCCAATTTACTACACGTTTGCCACAGATCCCAACAGCGAGTGGAAAGGTTTGTAACGTTTAAAAGGGGAAAAAAGCTTACATAAACTCTGTTTTCCTTTTGGTGATTTTTTTGTTTTGTTTTTTTTTTACTGCGGCATCTCACAGAGCACGCTGAGGCAGACACCTTCTTCTGTTTCACCAATCTGATGTCGGAGAACAGAGATAACTTCATCAAGAGCCTGGACGACTCTCAGTGTGGCATTACCTACAAGATGGAGAGTGTGTACTCCATGCTCAAAGACAAAGACATGGAGCTATATCTTAAGCTGGTAAGGTTCACCTTTAACACATTTCTTGTTCCTTCCACTAAACACAGACGCAAACAAGTATTTTCTTCAATAACTCAATTACCAAATTGACTTGAATATGCTTTGTAACCAGGGTTTTAATAGTTTTGCAATTTTCATTAGTTTTTATTTTTATTTAGTTTTGACTTCAGATTTTCAATTTTATATCAGTTTTAATTAGTTTTTACCAATTGTTTGCTAGTTTAGTTT